AAGCTTTACAGTGGAATATCAGCTTCACTGTGTTGGAGGATAGTGAATGACTTTCACGACACGGGTGAAGCAAGACTGTGCGGGTGTTCGAGTTCTTGACGTAAGAAAAGGGTCACCAGAGGTCGTCGAGTTGGCATCCCAATAGTGTTGGATGGTTGAATTGCCATGGTGATATGAACTCTGACTGAATCAGACTCGGCCAAAAGGCTGCAGGTGATGATGCAATTTGCACAGCTGCAACAAATTCATTGCTTTCCCTTCGCTGAATCCCATACTAGTACGCGTTTGCACACAAGTGCAGCATATGCCATGACGCGGCAGGGGTCTGGCGGGTTGTGCGCTTGCCCTGACCCAAGCCTGCTGACCGACTTCCTCCATGCTTCCTCGCAGTGCACATCGCTACAGCTGTTGTGTCCTCGTGTTGTGCATGGCCCAGTTCCTTGTTGCACCCCGGAACGAAAGGCCACCCAACTCCATGAACCCCCTAGTAGATTTGGGGTGAAGATCTCGCGTGGTGACGAGCATCAGCCAGGTGATTCTCCCATCTCCAGTTTGCCAGTGGATGCCAGTGGATGATGCTGATGCTGGTTGGTAATCATCATTGATCGACTGTCACTGGTACTGGTCACGGTGTCCACCTCGGTTTTAGACCCGTCGATCCAAGAGATGTGCTCCAAACTACTTCATCCAGCCGGTGCAACGGTCTTTTTTGAGCTATGGACACGAGGGTACAATGTGGCAACGCTCTTTCCGTGTCGAGAGGCAACTCTCTTAAGCATCCATGTTCATCCATGATCCAATTTCCCGATTTAAGATCATCCTACAGCTGTTGGAAAAGCCCTTGGTCCGTGTGATTTATCTCAACCTATGCACTTCGCAAGTTACACGATTCGTCCGGCCATAGCAAATGGAACCAATTATAACTGTTTACTGGAACTCCTCAGGTGACGCACCAATATCTAACTCATTGTTAGTAAATACACTGGAACCATCGTGAAACTCCCTCAGACCACATGTTGCATGTCTTGGCCAAGTGGCCAATTCACGGCCCATTCTCGGCACAGCGTTTTCGTGAGCACAGCAATCATGCATTAGACCGAGAAACCTCTGTGGCTTGAGTGATCAGAACCTCGATTGTTTGATTCTCATGCGCTGCGATACCACTTTTGTTTCAAACACATCACATCCTTTCATCACCAATGTTGACAGGCCATCTATAATGCTTTTGCCCAATGACATCGTTGTCTTGGGGTGCGACTACCTGAGGTGACTCGTATGAAGCAAAAGGAACTTGACAAAAAGATGTCACACATGTGGCCTTGTCAACATGGGTCTGCAGTTAAGACATGCGACCACGTACTTTGTCTTCGTCATGTGCGAAGCTCAATCACTTCATTGCATCAAAGTCGGGGTTGTAGGAACAAATTGGGGGTGGTTTCTGGGGTTTAAGTCTTCCGTGCATGACGTGTTTGGGAAATAATCTCAACTGCAATCTTGCAAGAACAATATTTTGGGACTCCAGGAGCTTCTAAAAAGGAATGCTTGGATATGCTTGGTGGTTTTAACTCGCGAAGAATAGGAGTCAGTGGGGTTTTCAAACCCATCCCAAGTAGTGCTTGAACATCAACATCTCTGAAAACCACCACCCAAACGGATTCAGAGGATTCTTTCGGAGTCTGGAGGATTTTAAGGGCCCACAGAGGTGTCATACCGCCGACGTCCGGAAAGGCCCTCTTCAGAGGGCGTTCCGCACCCGGGCTCCCGGCGACTCAAAGCGTGAGGGGAGTGAAGTCACAGGTCTGACCAGTCACAGGTCTGATGTGGTTTAATATGTTCGGTGAGGAATGTCGCTGTTGTTTTTTTCTGTTCCTTGACCAGTTTTTAGAGTCACTGGACAGGTCTTGCATGGTGTTGCTAAACAGGGTGACACGCTGTCACTGGTAACCCTGCGTGCGCAGAAGTGGGCTGAACGGTCTGGCACGAGCACTTTTCTGCTGAGGCAGTAGTTGCTGAAGGCACCGCTGACGAACAAAGTGCAGGAAACCAATAGAAACCGTATGAGCTACAGCATACCACCTCTCCCTAGGACAGCGGGGGGTGTTTACAAATCAAGACCCTACATCACTACTCCATCTAATTACTGTATTAATATTGGAGTTGCCACTGCAGATATTAATATGTTACGGTGGATCTACTTTCTCTGGGGGGCTCTTTGCGGAATCCCTTACTCTTCCCACACTCCGGTGACAGGGCTTGGTTCGTGTCCGATGGGCTCGACCGATGGCGCGTCGCCGGTGTTTCCACGGTCATTGGTGGATGTGTTTGTGATTTCATTCAGCCCACCTCGGATCCGGGACTTCTGCATCAGTTTGTACACGACCCCGAGATGTATTGACCATCGCTTGGTGGTTTGCTGACCATGTCGTGTGTCCAAATCTCAACAGCGAGATGTGTTAACTCCGCAAGTTTCAAAAAGAACTGAAGCCTCTGGTATCGCACTCGCAGGACAGCTTCGCTGTCTGCGTCAGGAGAGGCTCCTCACCCCGCTGTCCTGGCAAAGCAAAACCTTGAAGCACCTTGAGAGTATATAGATGCAAAAGGAACAAATTGGCAATCTCCATGAAGTTGACAGATCGTTACCACAAAAGACACAGGAGTCCTACTCCCACTCCCAAAGCTCAGAACTTTCTTGGGGGAAGCTAAGAGAGACATCACGCTGATGAAAAGAGCTGCTGGACCTACGGAGTTCTTCGTCGTGACGAGGTCCTTGACCCTTCGTCCAATCCCATCGGAAGTTCTCTCGTCCTCCTCCAGAAGCGGCTGCTCCTGCGGAGCTGAAAAAAAGAGGTGGCTCTGCAAACATCTCAGAAGTGGAATACCACCTGTTTTTCTATGGGAACATGGTCATACTGTAAGTCTCCATGTTCATCATGTTTCATCCATTTTCCATGTCATGATTCCAGTGAGGGTACAGGGACCTTCCCAGTAACCCTTTACGATCCCCCAAGCTCTTATATACCTCTTGTTTCGGACCCGGGCTCCGCGGAGGTCAGAGTTCCGAGTTGGGTTGACTCGCGCACACCCGGATCGAGGAGTATCCGGGAGCATGGTGCACTCCGAAAACTAAGTGCATTCGGTGGCGGCTGCTGAGTGCCATGGTGGCTCTTAGCTCATTATAAGAATATATCCACAACCGATATCTTCTAAAATAAGCTACCATATACTATATTTGTATCAGAATCTGCCCTAGTGTATCCTATAGTGTTGTTTTCCTCTACACGGCCAGTTTTTCAGGCTCCATGTGGTCCTCTGAAAAGCGGCGTAGTGCCTAGCAGTTCCATAGAGTTCACGGTTTTTTGGGGGGTGCCCCATCCAATTGACGTGGATGTTCCAACATCGGCATACATCGGCACCCTCCTCTTCCGTGACTGAAGCATCACATGGAACTGCCCTATCTTCGCAGCTCGGAGCGTTCTCCTGCTCCTCTGGCTTTCCTGTCGCCGCTGTCGCCGCTCTCTCGAAGTAGGACCCATGGGCTGTGGGTCAAAACCAGGATAGCACCAGTTACACATGGGATGTTCGGTAAGGATCACTAAATTACGTAGTTGGACTCCTAGCGGTCCTAGCTTCCAAGTCGAACAACCTTTCCGAAACAAACCAACCTTAGCCATTCCTTTTCAATGTGACCTGTGGAACATGGAACGTACTTGTGGAACATCCCATCAATTGCATCTCTTTTTCAGAGTTTTGGGTGGAGTCAACTCCAAAGCGGGCTTGCTTCTCCCGGACAAAGCGGACGCGCCGCTGCCGAAGCCTGTCAGCATCTGCATCAGCTGCCTCAGAACGAAAAGGTCGAACATGGTGGAACTTTGCCCCGGAACTTCACGGGGCTCCACATCTCTTTGAGAAGGTGGCCATTCCACCAGCGGAAGAAGTTCAGTACATCAGTAATGTAGACTCTTGATCAATAAACCCCCCATATGAAAAAGATCTCCAATTCAAACTGGGGGGCTTGTTCATCGGGGGTCTGCGTGGCCTGCTGTGGCTGGGGCGTCTGGGAAATTTGCGTCTCGCGTGTTTTGGGCCGTTGGCGGCTTTGGGCCTTCCGGGCGGCGGCGCCGGTCTGGGCGATGGGTGGCACGATCTAAATGTCTTCACCATTTTCGTGTGAGTTCGGCATCCTTGGATTTGCTGCCATTCTGTATTGCAGAGCAGCTCGCGCCAAAACAAGCAATTGGATGTCAAACTACCGTGCACTCTTGCACATTGGCGCAGAAGGTATCGATTAGGGAGCGCCTGCTCATGCCTCATGCAGCCTAACCCTACAACGCCAAGGAATGACCCCCAAATAGATTCTTACAACATCTTACAGTGCTTTTAGAACACCAGTGCCGTTTGTGTTTGGGGTATATCCCTGTGGCCCAGGCCAGGCAGGTGAGGAACACCATCTCTTCTGGGCCTCCCCACCGCGCTTTGCGCTTGTACCACGCATCGGGGGCCGGACCCACCTGCGCATGGGCTGGGCACCAGCCGGTTCTGACGAAGATACCGGGTCAGCCTGACCTGGTACCTTCACAACAGCCTTCTGACTGAACATATCAACAAATGAACCCGGAGGTGGAGAGTCTTAGAAACTCAGGTTGAAGATCTTGGGAAGCCACACAGCATCTTACATAGCAAGAATTTCAACTGACACCTTCTCCTACACCACACACCCCCTGCTACTGCCCTGTCATGTTTTGTCTCACTTCGCCTTTTTTCTGCACACGCTGGCTGGTGGAAACTTTGTACAAAGGCTGCGAGGTCGCAACAAGATCCAGTGGCTCGCACAAGGCATCCTGCTTACAACACTCACCACTAGATTCCATATATGTACCATATCTAAAATCTGAACATGCATGTACATGGTTTATTATGTTGTTATATATATATATATTGACAGATAAGAAGTTCAACATGGCCCCTTACAGGCTATCCCAGCATATCTCAAATCCACCAAACACCTTTGACCACTCAACCTTTGACCACCCATCACCACACATCTTTGTATACGTGATCTCGCACCCACTGGCCACGGCTATCTGCTGTTTTGAACGGCGAGACCCGGCTGCTTAAAGGCGCTGCCTTTGGGCCTTTTGGCTCAAAGCATCTCAAAGGAGCCAGTGGACTCCACCGCGGTTTGGAGCTGCTGTCGGAGGACTTGACGACTTGAATAGCCTCGGAAGATGCTGGCGGCCACGCGCGCGGACTTCGCCCTCCAAACCCACGCCCCCATGGCTTGGCAGAAAAGAAACACCTAGCGACCATTGGACGGGCCACAGGTGTATACGAACCATTGGGGTTCGAAAAACTGGCTCGGCCACGTGGGTGGTGTGTTTTAGATCCGGGAGACCACTGCCGCACTCCGGGGTGGACTGGTCGTCCCTTCACGCCACCGTGGTGCGACACCGGAACGGAATCCAGGCAGCGCAGCAACGGACGTGGGGACCGTCGGGTCAAGTGAATCAAGAACGTCCAAGTATACTCCGCTAGAAAAAAACATGGGCCCTCCCACTGGAATCATATAAGCAGAGGTTACCCTGAGGTTATCCTGACACTGGAAAAAACAATATAAGGCAAAGCCCATGAAAAAACACACATTCAATACACATCAAAAGCAAAACAACATGTTTGGACGATGATTAAAACGATTCCCCGCAATTACCAAAAGAGGGCAACAGTGAAGTTGCTTTCTTTTTTGGGGGGGGACAACTGCCCGGCCACCCCCCCCAAAAGAAAAAAACATGGGGAGTGTCTTTAAATACTTTACCCATATCTAACCACATGCACCATCCCCGCGAAGTTCCGAAGAAGAAGCTCTGCCAGGTGATGGACAATGACACCATGTAAAATCACCCCGACGTCCCACCCCGGTCACTCCCGACGGAGGGAGTTCAGTGGATCACCTTCAATACCTTCAAAACCGTGTGGATCTTGGAATCTTTCAGCATGGAATGCAAATATATATATATATATACACCCTGCATGACGAACGTGAATCACATGGAAGTATGAAAACATGTTCCCTTGGAAAACAATTCTTCTTTACAGGGGGTGAACGCAGACCACCTTGCTTTGACCTGCTCGGACAATTTAACGAGAGGTTTTAAGTATGTCATAGATGGTCATCATTCTTACTACAGGAATCATATAGACGCTGTAGGGATCATAGATTTTATGTATTATATATTTATAATGTACAGTACTACTTTATGTTAAGAAACAATCCCGTGAGGCTTCGTCCAGAGTTTGTTTAAGCCGGTGCGAGCTCGGTGCAAAAACATGGGTCACCACACCCAATCGCCGAACTCGGCTGGATGCAGTTCAGCGGACGCGGCAGTTGAAGGAGATTGCCACAAGTCATTGCTGTTGGCAATCGTCCTGACAGGATTCTGGATGGATCATCCTACATGGCAGGATGAAGGGATATGGCCATGAAGGAAGGACCAGTGGTGCACTTAGAAAGTGGACAACCTACTGCAGTACCCTAATCATCAACCCAAACTCCTCTACTTTGCTTACAGATCAAAACTACTGCATTGCCATGCATTGCCCATGAGAACGAACTTTCTTGATTACTTCCTTTGCCAGGCCGCTGATGACTTGCAATGATCCCTCACCGCTTTGCCACCTTGCTCCACGAAAGGCATCAAAAGTTCTCCGTTACGTCGCACCAAAGCCGACTGCCCGGAATCTTCGTTCTCTCTGCCCTACCAGCTCCGAACGTTTCCTGGGAGCGGATGACAATGCATTTGGGCAAACATAATCCCTAGGGATCCAAGTACCTTCTCAGAAGGTGATTGGAGGCACTGTTATGTAGGTTTGGTGGGTCCAAGTACCTTCTGAGAAGGCACTTGGATCCCTAGTGAACAATTTGCCTCCAATTTCCGGGCGTTCATGCTTGAAGTTCTGGTCTCTTTTTTTTCTGGCATGATTCACATACGATCCCACCACACCCATGACGAGCTGGGGCCGTGCCAGTAAGCAATAAGAAACACGTATAAACATGATATAATACATTGTCTTCATTTGCCTCATGCCCCAAGGCAGTGTCATATGCACGAAAACCGCATGATGAATCATCATTGTCTTCTTCAAACCCTACTTCTTCCATCTTCTTCCTCTCCCTGCGGAAGAGGCCACATCCAAGGCTTGGCACTTACGCCTGCGCACCTGCTCCCGGAACTCCCGGGCCGCCAGCCCGCGCTCCTCCCTCATGGCACCCGCCCATCCCGGTCCGTCGCCACCGTCGCCAGGCTCCAGGCGGAAGGCGCTCAGACCATCGCGGCCAATGGAGGAGGTGCCGGTGGCGAACTGGAGCACCTCGCCGGTCTCGGCGCGGGTCTTTGGGACGTCTTTTTGGTCAAAGGGTGATGACACCAAGGGGGAAACCGTTTTTTTTTGTGGTTTCTTTTTTTGTTGTGTGTTTTTCTCAGGAAACACTTTCTAGAGGAAACTTCACGGCTTTCACCCTCAAAACGATGGGCTTCACGGCTTCATGTTTCCCTTCAACCATTTCTTCTCGACTCACCCCGACGGTGGCGGAGCCGTTGCGTCTCGAAGTGGAAGGGAAACGACATAGGTTTGGTGACCAATACACCGCTTGTGACGTGGACTGACCGAGCCAAGCAGGACCTGAGCAAGCCGGACCGGTCTGGTTCTGAATTGAACAAAACTAGCCACCTGGCTGGGACACAGCAAAAGATAAAAGAAAGACACCCCTGACTTATATGCACAAATATGTGCATAAATAATACATAATAATACATGTATACTAGGGCCCCCCTAATAAGGGGTGTCTGATGATACCTCCTGCAAAGATTAAGGGGTATCCATTGCCCTGGTATCCCTGGTCTCAAGAACACAACAGGAATTTTCATGGAAATTCTCCCTCTGTGGAGGAAGAGCCCACCAGGGCCGACCTGACTTAACTTCCAGCTTCATCGGCACATCCTGGTAGCCTGCAAAAAAGGATGGATCCTTTTGGAAGACAAGGGCCACCAAAAAGGATCCTCCGTTCTTGCTGAAGGCGACTCCGCCCCCAAGTTACGCGCGCCTTGCTGCGGAGCCTGTGCATCGCACAAGTGACTGGGGTAGGGATGAAGGTGGGATGAGTACCTGCAAGTTTGGTGCTTTTGGCCCAATGAACTCTATCCTAAGTTTGGTAACTCAGTTGAGATTTCAGGCGATGTCTGTAGCTCGCAACATGTGACTTAGATTGGGCTCTACGAGTCTAAACCACTACAATAGCTGATCTTTAAAAAATATCAGGACCTACTTAGGCAAAACGCTTAGCTTGCGTAGCTCCTTCGCCGCTTCGCGACCCTGATCGATCCTCGAGACCCGACTACGATGGCGGGGTTGGGTGGGTGTCCAGTTCAGAGACACTCAAGACAGGATGCTGCAGGAAGAGGGCGCGTATACCTGTAACAAGTTTTTGTTTATTTTTCAGGAGCGAATCGAGTGGGTCTCAAAGAGTCGGAGATCGAAAACAAACGGACTTCCAACCGAGTCAACCTCTCAGACTCGGATGACGTACGTAAGAGCCAAGATGCTCGTCATCGAACTCTTCTTCCAGCACCTGCCAAAACCAAGCTGCTTGTTGCCTCAAGAGACAGCGCGGGTTGAGCAAGTGTTCATCCCATCTAAAACTAAGAACAGACTGGGCGACTGCGAACATCGGCGAATGCTCACCTCCCATGCTGCGCAGGACCTGATCCTTGAGCTGTCATTGAATCCAGAACGTGATTGCCATTAAACCCCTGAAAGTGACGAAGGTTGGCGATCAAGAACCCCAGCAAGCCACATCTCGACCAGGAGAACCACACAGCAAGTTCCAAAGCAGAATGGACAAAGGATCGTTATTTCTCAAGATTTGATGGATGTTCAATGGCTGAACCGCACGCTATGGCTATGACACTCCCATCATCTCCCATCTATTCCACACTTTTCCACCTTCACTCCCAACCAAAAATTGCTATTAACATCTATTAGCACAAAAAAGTCAGGCAACGCCCTGCGCATCCCTGCGCCACTTCAAGGCCTCCCATCCCTTGCACGCAGCATTTCAAGCAAAAACGTGTCTACTCAGAGGTTCGATGGCACCAGCTCGGCAAGAGGCACTGGACTTGGACACAAGAAACCCTCATCTGCCTAGGAAAATCGGTTCTGTGCCAGAAAAGAACCTCTGAAACCAACCCACAACCAATCACCAACCAGAACCACCAACCAACCACCAACCAACAAACCGCCGGTCGAACCATCTGTCTGCCCCAGCCGCTGGATGCGGCTGTTGACGGAGCACACAGACTTCCACAAGGCGAGTTCTCGCTTTCCCAACGCACCGCTGCCCCACAAGTCCTCGAATAACCAGGCGGTTCTGTGTGTTGTGTGTGTGTGTGTGTGTTATGAATAGGATTGAATAGGGAGAACCCCTATAGTTGGACCATCCAGGTCTCAGCCAGGTCTCATGAAATGCCAGGTCTACCGAACCCGGCGGTCAGAACGCCACGCCCGGTGTCAGTCGGATCGAAAAACGGGTCGGGCGACGTGTCCGGGAGTGGCTCTGTGGATCAAGATGGAACCGGATTGGGGACTGGGAGTGGCTTTCAAATACTATGCAAAACCATAGACCGTCTTGGGTTGGGTGTGAAACTCTGCGGTTCCGAGTCAGCTGTTCAGGTCGAGAATCCAAGTGTGCTTGCTGAGTACGGAACCCTACCCGTCACGGAGGGCGACATACGGTCTCTAATCTCAATAACAGCAACCACAAAACGGAAAAGAACAACTTGCATCCTCAGAACCTCAGGAGGTACTGGTTGTTTAACTCTTTGCGCCCAAGAAAGAAGGTCTCTGAAAGCGAAAACCAAAGCCGCCAAACCTCAGGCTGCTTTCTTTTGCCAGCCAGGCGGCCCTGAACCGAACCTCATAGCCGAGCAACAATGAGATCTTCCGGAGCGAACAGAAACAACAATGGGCAAAGACTCCTCAGGCTGCAAGGGTTGCGATGCATGGGTCAATTGCAGGCAACTCTGGCTGAGTGTCTGCAAACCAAGGCAAACCTAGGTGTCTGAGTGTCTGCTACACAAAAGCTGTAATGAAAAACAAATGACTTGGGGTCAGTAGGGAACCAGTGGCAAGTGGCAAGGCCAAAGCAAATCCGACCGTACTGCACCAGATTGCACATCTCGCTACGATTCCCATGTCTTCCCTTGTATTAACTACCAAACCGCCAACAATCACAGCTAGTAACCAAGCCCCAAAAAACAAGCATTCAGGACTTTTGCTCCCAAATCTGTCTATCATCTTCCCCAACTATAATGAGTTATGTTTAAATGAGAACATATTATCCCCCACCTTTGGCCCGGATATTTTTGGCCAGAAGTTCTGTCTGCATCCGGCCGGGCCCCCAACTCTGCTGAGTGTCGGCCCCCGCCCGCCGAGCACATGAATCAAGCCCTGTCGGAAGTCGTCCGCCGCTCGCTCAGCCTCTGGGCCTCGCGAAGCGAGGCCACGGCCAGGGGGGCGGGTGCGATGGGTACTGCCCGCAGCGCCAGGTGCGAACGGGTAGGGACCACACATGGAGTGATTCCCTGAGCTGGACACTGTCCACCTATTGGATTTGAGTGGGGATACCTAATCCCCCCTAGCCAGTTGACTGGGTAGATTGGGTCCTTGAAGATCAACCCCCATGATTATGAGAGTTTTGGGGAGCCAGGGGGCAAGGACTTCAAATCCTCAAATAGTGGTGTCTGCTTTTTGTCCCCTTCCATAATCAGTTTGTTGCCACTCATAACTATCATTTACCTATCACTTCTTTATCAACCTTTACTAGCAGCCGCTTTGAATAAGAACACTCCTAACTACAACTACTAGACTAGTATACTTCTAAGATCTTCTAAGATTCTACTACTACAGAACTATGCTACAGTACTATGATACCACTACCGATGCAATTACGAACACTACTGCAAAGACTACAACAAGTCATTGTACGTGTACTCAAGACCTCGGCTTCTGGGGCACTCTCCTCCTACTACTCCTCCTCCCTGCTTACATAGAAGAAAGCAAACATTCAAAACGAACAAATAAGCATGAACAAAAAGAGAAACGTACAGGTTAAACATGATAAAACAATGATACGATCATGCTGAGCCCCAAAATGGTTAAAACCTCGAAACATGATAAAAAGCTGATAAAGGCAAACAATGATCAAACAAAGATAAGCAAAGTTTCAAATGACAAAATTGATAAACACATGATAAGACAAAACAAAACCAAACAATCTACACAAACTTGCAACGATTAAGAAACGATGTGGACACAGGGAGCAGCTCAGGTGCAATACAATGCAGGACTGCAGGCAGCTAGCTTGGACCTGAACTCCGCGACTAGACTTATAGACTGCCTGCAAAAAGGCACCTTTGGTCAACTCCCTGCATCTGAAAGGCTGAACGGCTGACACTGCTGTGCTTCGTTTTAGGTCACCGGCACCGTTCTGCGTTCGGTACGGACGACCGATCACGGGCACGTCACATGCCGACCCGACGTACGTAAAGGGGCAACGGACGTGAACGGACGTGGAAACGCCGTAGCTCAACGGAAGACACGACGCTCACACGAAGATGACGGATGTGAGCTATGTTAAACCCACATGAAATCGGGGTCGGGCGAATTCTTCTCCCCACCACTTTGAGGTGAAGGAGCAAAAAGAATGGCCACTCGTGAGTAGGGAGACCTTGGGGCATCGACAAATCGATCCGAAGCGAGGACGCTCTTTGGCCAAAGTGCTGAAGAGCTCCTGCTGCAAGGAATGCCAAAGCCATTGCTCCTCAGGTCCCATCGACGAAACATCGGGAGCGGGCCATCCTGGACGGAACCAGGGAAGGAGATTCACCATGATTCACTCATATATGAGGGAGAAAAAGGTCAAAAACATCGCCCAACAAGCAAAACCAAGTTTCGGGATCCCGAACACTTGAGGCCAACGACCTCCAACGAGGGAAGTGCGCCGTGACCGAAGCAACGACCGAAGCAACGTCACCGAAGCGTCTTCGATCCAGCGGACTGTCCTTATTCTCATCGGTGACCTCGATCTGAGCTCCGCCTGGTGAGCTCCGCACTGGATCCGCAGGTTTCAAGAGAGAGACCGCCCTTGACATGGCCGAACGGACTAGGTGACTAGATGTCCAACCCAGTCTGTCCGAACTAGACTTCGTGTTGTATTGGCTGAAGTAGAGAAGAAAGAGGGAGACCCCCACGCCATGGGTGTTGTGGCTCCCGGCTTTGCTTGTCTTGGCCCGTCAGTTGGGCCGCTGCACCTCCCCCAAAGATAGGTGAGAGGGTCAGGACTGCAACAGCATGGTCTATTTCCCTTCTTGCAGCGGGTCTTGCTGAAACCATATATAAAACCTATAGTGGATGGAGAGATGACACAAACGTCCAAGTTTGGTCGTGTCTGTACATGATGTTCCCAGCTTGTGCTCCAGTTGTAGCTGAGAACTTGGAGTCCTTTTTTGGGGTTTACTGTGCTGGCAAATGAATGCTGCTTGAACGTTGGCTTTTATGTTTTGAACTTGGAATTATTATATACCCTTCCACCAACAGAACATATGCATTGATATATGCATTTGTATGCATATGCCCTTCCACCACCTTGGCTTTTATGCTTTTATATGCATTGACATATCTTCAATTTAAATACCCTTATCCACCTTCCGGCTGCTTAGGCCACCAGGACGCTCCAAACAACGGAGGACTTCGGGAGGTGTGATTGACAGCTTCAGGCTTGCTTTGTTGGCGGGGATGTCTGATTATATATATATATAGCTAGCGGATGCTAGCGGGCTATGCCCCTCAGTTAGCTAAGAAGTGGCGTAAAACATCGGGATTTGTGATGCCGGGGGCTGGGAACGGCCAAGGGGCCAGGATACAAGCAGAAATTGCCAGAATTGGAATCTTGAGTCTGGAGGTGAAGAAATTCTGTACTGAAAGGTGGTTTGGTGACCAAATTGGATGGTCCTAGTAGCTCAACGAACCATGCTGCACATCCGTGGTATGTGTCTTGGTCCTTCTTTCTGACCATCTTTTTGGGGGCTCACGGCGTCACCGTCGAACGGCGAACGTCGCAGCATCGACCGTTGTGCGACTTCGCACCCCGCTTTCAACGATCGGGTCCCTTTTTCTCACAAGCATTTCAAACGCTCCTGCAGAGTTTCGTTGTCTCCGCCAAAGGCTGGGTGCCCCCAGCTCACCACAGAACCATCCTGGGTGGAGAGATATTTGGATTTCGAGTTCGTCGAGGTGTAACAGTCATACTTTGTTGTTATGGCACCAGCAATAGACCCAATGACTGGACTCTCAAGCCAAACTGACACAGTGGCTCCAAAAAGAACACAAACCACTCAAGCCACCGCACGGCTGCTTCAAAAGGTCAAACCACCTTTGGTCCAAACAACCTGATTGGAAAACAAACCCTGGAGATTCATTCTGCCCAGAGGCGCATGGACCCTATAGCTATGAGGGTCCAATGAGCCTCTGGGTGCGGGAACATGCTTGTGGACTTCGTAGATTTGCCCGTTGATCTCTCAAACCGCTGGCTTTCTGGAAACTCCTAAGATAGACTCCAACCCCTTCGGGGGGGGGACAGGCTGCTCTTTTTTCAGAAGGTCCATGAGCGTCAGCACCCAACCCAACCCACTGGCCTCTCTACTTTTTGACCACCTTACCTATAAACCCTATAAACCCTGCCCTTACCTCCTGGTTAACGTCGCCAGGTCGCTGCTCTCACCGCAGTGAACGCTCGCTCAGTGCCCTTGACCTCCACCACATCCACCAGCTCACGCTGCGCCCAAACCTCCTCCACCATGCCACCGGACTCCGCGTCGCCCCAGCACACCAGAGAGCCATCGGAGCGCAGCGCCACAAACGCCCAACCGTTGGACTGTGGGGGCGACTCTGTGGACGACTCCGTGGGGCGAGGGCTTTGGCAGAAGAGGGGTTGTGGAAGGGAGAACCGGCCGTTTGATGTGTGTGTGTTCTTCTTTTAAGATATATGATATGTGTATAAATATATGTATATATTATATATTATATAATTGCCCTTTCACAATAATATAGGGAACCCTCATGCACATCATATTTGCTCGATACAGAACAAGAATAATCCGGAGAACTTGGACTTGCACCACCAAAAGCACCATGCAGATGTCTGCAACCAAGATTTTTGGGAACACACAACACCTGACAGAATGTCAAAATGTCACAAAACACATCAACTTAAAGAAACATGGGCAACATGCATCAGTCAGAAATGAAAAGCCCGTGACTCGTCGTCCACCGCTCCAGTACTTCTCAGGAGCAAAGAAAACTTGTCGAACCACTTTACCCCGGCCAGTTCAGTAGCCTTTCAATCAATTGTTTGGCTTTGCAAAATCATCCACTTGTTGCATTGTTTCTTGGTCCTTGAACCCTTCAAACCACAGGACTCTACAAAAGCTTCGTCACCGAAGACCTTCTCTCGGCCGTGGGCGCTGGCCGGCTGGCCGCGCCTCGATGCCCTCCACGTCCACCAGCTGCGCTTGGACTTGCTCCGAGACCACACCGCCCAGATTGGCAGAGCCCCAAGTCACCACGGTGCCTAAAACAAAACGCCCACCACCCGGGTCTTCCCACTGAAACGGTCAAAGTCTGGATGAACACGTGCAACTAACATCAAACTTAGAATATTTATGATTAAATCTATAATCAGCATATATCATGATCTTTCCATCTCTTGCACTGTAACGTTGCCAACTTCGCCATGTGTCCGTCGGAACGCAAGGCTGCAAATGCCCAACTGGTGGACTGGATCAGTTGGATGTTGGTCAACTCCACTCCGCTGCTGTCGCCTCCACCCTCAGGGTCCTCGGTCGCTCCGACCGAGTTCCGTGCGGTCACCCGGTTCCGACATCGGAAGACGCGCCACCGTTCGATGCTGGTTGAACTGGGTACAATTCCAAGCTGTAGCTGAAGAGTCGCTTGAAAACACACCGGAAACGCAGGTCGATTGGTAGAACTGACTAAGGTCTGCCCATCTACTCAATCTTTTCATCCCACTTCTGTCACTGCACGGAAAAACACCAAGCATTGCTCCGTCTCACTCTTCGCCACGCTTCTCCCCAGGTTTCCACGGCCCCATTGCGGTGCAACGCCGCGAAGGCCACGCTGGTGGCCTTCACCGACTGGACGTGGCACAGCTGCTCGGGTGACACGGTGCTGGTCTCAGCGTAGGAGGAGCCAAAGCCTCGGCGCGGCGAAGCTGACCGGTCTTGCCCGAGGGGGGGACGAGGTAAGGGGTTTCGTCCCAGACGAAAAGCAGGGTCTCAAAAAGGTCGACTTGAAGTGCTCTGATCTGCAGATGATCAGTTTTGATCTGCAAATGAATCTGTTCCAAAGAACTTCATATGGTATCTGGGCAGACAAAGGATCCAAGGAACGTCTTGCGAAATCTGCAGTTGATGCGTACATGCGGTGGTTAATGAACATATAGATGGGACACCCACTACGAGGACCACTGACGCGTCTCCGTTCCCGTTGGACACTTCTAGAAGCTCCAGGTATCCCAAGACCATGGACCAAAGTTAAGTCGAACCGGAAGCGTTCTAAGTGTATTATATGGACCGTTTTCCACTACAACCCATTGAAGCATGTGACTCTCGAGCAAACTATGTGCACTGAAATGTGTGTACCAAAGCTTCCAAAGACCACTAAAGGAGCGCCCACTAAAGGAGTGCCTGGATATTGGAAACCTCTCCCTTTAAAGGGACATTGGATGTCTGGGCTATGAGTCTTCTGCTCCAACATCTAAGTTGATTCACCAAGACACCCCAAGCGGTCACAGTGCCATCCTTCCTCACTGCTGCAAAGGCAGTCTGCGATCCCTCTACACTTTGGACGTTCTCCAGCCGTTCGGTGCCGTTCCCGCCGAAGAAGGGATCGCCCCAACAAATCACTTGGCCATCCGAGCGCAAGGCTGCAAAGGCTTCAAATGTGGAGGAAATCTGCTGCACATGACCTTGAGCTGGTCGCACATGAGAGGGGAAATTGATTGGATTTTGTAGTCTGAATGAACGAGGGAACCAACATGACTCATATGATTGTAATGAATACAGGCTATAGGTACCCTTTGTGGTTCCAATATGTTCCAATCGACTCAACAGGGTTGGCTGCGTTGGCTTTGCTACTTGCATCTCTTACTCCCAAACATGACACTTTGACCCTTTGGTTGTGGCATAGTCAGTGGTTCCAGCCGCTAACCCAGCAAATCTTGTGAGGTGCATGATTGCAAGCTGGTGGAACTAGTTAGCTTAGCCTCTCACCCTTCATTTAAGCGTTGGTCACCGTTCGTGATTCTGAGCCATCGAATAAAGGACGTCCTGCACCCTGTTATCTTCCGAACAAAGGTTATCGACTATCCGTGATCTCGTTGCTCAAGATCTGCTTGCCAATCGTTCCCAAACGTGGCGGCCACCACATGCCATTCATTCCACACCACCATTCCATCAACAAGTACAGCGGTGATTTGTGGGAGGGTACTGTCGCGAGCACATACGATAGCTATACCTGACATCAACTGTTAGGCACGACATAACTATACCCTCTTCCTAGTGGAATTCAAAGGCCCAGACCACCCCACCCGCATCATGTGAAGTGGCACGACATCCTTGTGAAGTGGCAAAGGTTGTTCCTCCAATGTGAAGTGGCAAAGGCACGACATCCTTCCCTCTTCCATCGGAATTCAAAGTGAAGTGGCAAAGTTGATCCTTCACACTGCTGCAGTCTCCACCAGATTCCACTTCCTGGGACGAAGCACGAGACGTCCCTCACCCAGCGAGACGTCCGCTTCGCGCTGCGCTTCCAATTCAGATCCAAGCTGGCGAAGCCAAAGGGGAAAAGCAAAGGAGTGGAAAGCTAAAGACGTGGACCTCTGATGGTTTTTGTGAGCTGTTTTAGCATAATATTTTAAGACTCTATCTATTATACAAACAAATATGGTACTATAGTAGCGCGTGTGTAAATATATAGATATATAAAATGTGTTCAACGCATCCTGAACATATGGCATTGCAAAACATTGCAAGCGTCGCCCCAGGTCACCACGCTCTCATCCTCGCCACAAATGGCTGCAAAGGCCTCGTTGTTCCCTGCGATGCTCCGGACGTCGCGAAGGTCTGCTTGGACGGACTCGGGGATGACACCACCCATCTCCTCAGGTGATACACATCGCACAAGGCCCGACCTGCGGGGTGCTCCATTGACAGCTCTTTGACCTTTAAGGGGCGATTGGCTATTGGTATGATTTATTTAGATTACATATTTATGCATTTAGAATTCTTGTAGGTCCTAGTTAGTTGACAACTATATATTTATACTGATTTATATAAATTAATGTTATAGTCATAGTAGAATAATCTACAGTAGGAGCCTTCTCAGAGATTTCCTGCGACTTCGGCGACCCAATCGGGGTGGTGCAGTGACACCCTGAACCCTCCTTGACCTTTAAGGGGGCTATTCTATAAACACCCCTTATTGGTGGCTCCTGATGGCTCCTGGCAAATTGGTGGATCTTCAACATCAAAGATGGTGAACCCAGAAAAGCACAACCAAGGGGAGAGCGCCGGGGAGTGCTTAGTCTTGTCACAAGGAAAGTCTGGTGATTTGTCCATGTGGAGCTGTGAATACAAGCCCCCTCACCTGCTGCCCTCAAAACTAAGTCAAATCAACATCTTACACTTTCTCACCCACACAAACAAGACCCAAAGCCTCAGGTGCTCCACCAGTCTAACCTGCTCCACCAGTCTAACCTCGTCCATCTCTTCGTCCAAGTGTCTGGAGACCCCCAACACACCACATCTCCCTCACCCGTGAGCGCTGCAAAGGCATTCCTTGTAGCGTAGACCCTTTGGACGCCGGCCACCTTCAGCCGTTCCGCCACGGCGACCGGCACCACGCCACCGGCACCGGCTTCGCCCCAGGCGCAAAGGGCACCTCAGAGCGATGGCCTTCAGCCTAAAAGCGATGGCCTCCAACCTAACAGCAAGAGGAACCCAATAGTACAGGGCGCCACTGCCTTCGTACCAAAGAACAAAGGCGGCGCGATTCCCCAGCAGCTGCGGCCGCCGTTCCGCGATGGCCAGGACCTCAAGGCCGTTCCGCGAAGGCTACGAGAAGGGCATGGGGGGTTCCGCGCGCATTGGACCGAGCGAGCGCTGGCTTTCGGATCGTTCAACTCCGAGAAGTGTGCCAAGATGTGCTAAGGCTTTCTGATGCTTTCTGAATGAATGAGCACTTGCTTTTCCAAACAATTCGAAGGTACTGGAGGCGTCTGTTTCCACCAAAAGCTTTGGATGATGATGAGTGCCAGATTGCCAAAAAGCACTTTACCGATCTTTATCGTAGTCCCTGACCCTCTGTCAGCCAAGGTGAAAGGCATTGAACCCAAGTTATATACCATTTGAAGATGTCTCTGCCGGAATCACTGCAGTCTGCACTGAAACAGGAAGTGGCAAATCTTGACTGTCAAGATTGATTTGTCCAAGTCACAGTGTCACCATCTTGTAGGCCAGTCTCCTTGACCTCAGGTGGCAACAGGGCACTGGATGGTCAGAAGCGAACTCGTGTCCACCAATGGCTAAACGTGGCATGGAGAAGGTCCGAAGACGTCAACGCCGAGATGTGCCCCAAAACGCTCGTGGCATGGCCGGGGAACGCCGGCAACGGTGGCCTCCTTCGACCGTCGCTTTCGCGATCCGGTGGGATTTCGAGCAGCGGCTGCTGATTCCACTGCGATGATTCGACGTGTCAAAAGGTGCCTTCTGACCTCAAATAGGAGCTCCTTCCATGACATCATTATTATACTTAATGCAATCATCGGCTCTTTGCTACTGGGAGCCACGAGGCCATGCCGAACCGTTCGATTTCGTAAAAACCGGGGGGGGGGTCCCAGTACGACGGCATACGGCGCAAAAGGGATTCCAAATGAATGACAGAGCCTCTCACACCGGTTAATTAAGGCCCACACACATGGGTTAAAGGCCGAGAGGCCAATCCTCGTGGGTCAAGGAAAGATCCATCCTTGGTTGGCGGACCGTTCACATGGGAAGCGCTTCGCTTCGCTTTTCGGGCGTGTGCTGTGCGTGAGAACCGTGCTGCTTGGAAAGCCATGAAGCCACTGGCTCGGTTGCTTGGTGAGGTAAGCTCTACAACGTGAAAGATTTAAAGCGCTGGAGTCTGAACAAACATACAGTCGAGTGAGAGAGATTGTGCCAAGAGGGCTGGATCATTTTGCTGCCAAGCATGAGCAATAGCATGGATTGAACTACATCGTCCTTGAACCCCCCAAACACACAAAATACAAACCCGAGATCACTGGAAATATTAAACAAACCAGTGATGTCCTATTTTGGATAGAATAGAACGGTCGATTTGGTACAATACACGTATGCATGGAGACCGCGACCCGGAAGAATAAAACGCCTCATCAACCAACCAAGGGGCCTATAGCGTCCAACCTAACAAATTAGAATTAAATTAATAGCTTCTTGTTACTACTAGTAAGGCACTTGTTACTAGTAGCGTGGCACTTGTTTCTAATAGCTTCTTGTTACTCTCATCTCGGCTTTCTCCCCAAGTCCAGCGCTGTCGTCCGCCGTCGCCCACTGTCCAAGCATCCGCCGCCGTCAGCCGGAGGAAGCGCTTGTCCAGGTTCCGCTGTGCAGCGTCTCGCAGATCCGCCACGCGAGACGTGCTTCTCAACGAGACCGTCGTGGAGGCACCGCTTGGAAGCGAAACCGTGAGAGAGATGAAAGTGAGCTCGGGCACCTTTCTGCATGTCAAAAGGCGGATACTTCTGCAAGAAACCCTTGTAAATCCACAACACACAAAATCCAACATACAGTTTTGGGGGATGAGGAGTTTCTTCAGGACAAACTATGACAGACCCTACAAGGGTGTGTATTTCAATAGGGAGACACCCTGGCTCGCCCTGGCTGGGTAGACTGGTTGATATTCCTTCGGAACGGGGGGGACCGAATGGGGAGGTCTCCCGATTATCCAACCAAATAAGAAGATCGACGGCTTCACCATCCACGTGAAGGCCTCAGCAGATCTGGAGGCCACCGATGAATACAAGAAACGCTTGTAAGGCTCGTAGGACCTCCTGTCCACACTGCTGCCCGAGCCCATGGCGAGAAACACCGAGGCGAAAGATCACCGGAGGATGTCGCATGGAGAAAACCAGCTTTCGTTGGAGAAAAGAGTGAGTGCATATATATATATATATATATTTTTTTTTAATTCTACAGTCTTTCAGAATTGGGTGCAAAAACTCAAAGACAAGCCTGACCTTTATTGCCTTCTACTTGGGTTCAAAGAGGTACCCTGAGAGGCATGGTTCCGTTTGCGCCCACGAATTGGCTCGTTCCAGGGGGCCTATCCTGCAACTGCAAGCGGAAAAGTTTGTGGGGATCAACCCAAACCATGCGATTGCAAAAAAAACACAATGTACAGTCATATACACAACATATCATCACATACCACATCATACCACATACTGTACTGTATACAGTCAGTGAGTGGATGTAGGTCTTTCTTCTTCTTTGATGGCGTGCATGTCCTCCGAGACATGCTCTCCATGACTTGAGCCAACCTGAGACAAAGTTTGCTATGCAATGGCAGAAACTGAAAAGGATCGATTTCACCGGTGGCCCAGAAACAACACCTGTATTTTCAGGTTGTATGTTGATCTATTTTCGCTCTTTGGCCTACAGCCGTGCTTCAGTCATGCCTGCAAGATTCTGACAAGCTGGACCGTCAACTTTGGGACCCCCCATGCAATGGCACCCCAAGCAATCGGATGGGAAAACGCATGAAACAACTCCGGCGGCAGTTGTCATATCATGAACGGTGGCTTCCGGCAGCCTCCAGCTCTTTTTCTGGCAAAGGGCTGGCTGGGCCGCCCCGCCGAGTCTCTGTGTTTCACGTGGTTTCACGCGGTTTCAGGCGGCACGCGACTCGCCTGGGATGAACTCCTGGCCCTCGTGTGAGAAGTTGAGCATGCCATCCAGCCCCAAGTCTGCCAAAGGCGTCCTCAGTGCGACCAAAAACACCTGGACACCGCTGTGTGCTTTTGCTATTGGAGTGGGGGAATGAAAAGGATGAACATTCCTAGCTTGATCCAAATGGTGGAGATCTGGCCAACCAAGATGTTGTGAATTATGCTGCCCCCATGTTTCTGTCTGCAATTTGTATGTCAAAATGAAGCTGATGGGTAGAACATGGCAGAACAAGACCAACAAGTCGGTTGAAAAAAGGTTCCGTTCAAGGGCTCATGAATTAAGTCCCATGCAAAACAAACATCCACTATACCAGGACCTTCCAACAGCTGTTTTTGGACACCCCTTAACATCTAAGAGGCTATTTATAGACACCTCAAACGGATGGTCCTAACTATCTCGGGAGTGTTGCGGACACTCGGACTGATCACTCCTGGCTCCAGAACATGTGGCTCCAAGTCTCCAAAAGGTAGCAAAAGTCGAAAATCACTTGTGAGATGCTCTACCAAGATGCTCCATGTATGCTATAACCATCTATAACCTATGCTTATATACATTCACCACCACCAAATGCAGGCCATACTTGCATCCATGGAGCATCTGGGCTACAAATCTCTCAAAAGAGAAGTCTGGAGCGTCATCCCACGGAAAAATGGCCCACATGGAAGGAGAAGGAAACCACGTCTGCAAGCTTGGCCACCATATCTTGAGGTGAATATTGCGGGTAAAGGATGGTAAACCCCAAGCCTTTACCCAGTCCCTGGTCTTTTGCTATCAGGCGTGTTGCCTGGCTGGCTTTCTATCAGACCATCATGGTTCCGAATGCGGAGCACTTCCTCCTGCACGTGGGGGATTTGTCACAAAGAAGCGCATCCCAATCTGTTGATCCATCCCAGAAAAATCATAGATGGGGTAAATGAATGACATGTATGTATCTGGAATGTATAACTATTCCATGGAGTGTCTGGGCATGGTTCTTGAACTCGGGGCTCGACACCTCTTCTCTCGATGACATCATCTAAAGGCGTTGCAGTTCTGTCAATCACCTCACCAAGGCAATCTTGCTTTGGCAACTTGACACCTGTCTTGCTTGGGCTTGCGCTTTTCTCCTTTGGCATAGGCTTGCAGCATGCGACAGGCTTATATCCACACACTTCCTGAAGGAAGTTGCTGATGTCAGGAATCAACAACCCCCACACTCCCTCATCCACGCCAAACATTGGGACTCTGGTGCTTTCTGAAGTTCTCCTTGCTGAAATAACGCGGGCCGACGGCCTCTTCAGCATGCTCTGGGAAGCAAAGAGTAGTGTGGGCCCTGTTGTCAGGCTCCGTCCGTTCTCCAGCGTGCATGATCTGATGGCCTTGGCTCATCTGCCTCGAACTCATCCTTCTCAGCTGCAACGGCTCATCTGGGATGCATACTCTGCAGCTAGTAGCTTCTTGTTCCTAGTAGCGAAGCCCTTGTTACTAGCAGCTTCTTGTTACTAGTAGTAAGGCCAGGAGCTACCAGTAGCTTCTTGTTCCTGGTAGCGATGCCCTTACTAAGCCCTGATTTTTACAGATCCCCAAGTTGGGCCCAACCAGGTCAGTCACCAAGGCGCTCCAGAAAATCCTTCCGGCACCGGAAGTCCACTTGCTCCCCTGCCTCGTAGTTTAACTCTGCCTGGTGCACGGACAGGATGGGACGGTGTGGAGGTGTACGGGTCCACCATAGAAAGGAGATGAGTTGCTTCATGGATTTTGGATTGTCTCACATTCCAAGATCAGAGAAACTCTCTTCTAATCTGTGGAGTGTGCCTAGGGGAAACAAAACGATCCTCCTCTTTCTGGGAGGCCCAGACGGGCATCCATAGGAAGCCTTTTAACATTTTGTTGGGCTCCACCAACTATCACTTTCCCCTCCCTCCCGAGCGCTTGCTTCGATACACGGGTCGGCCTGCAACTCCTGCAAGCTGCTGGGCCTGACATGCAACAAGAGGCGCATGAAGGGCCGGCTCAGCGGGCGTCCCAATTTGCATCCGTGCCTGGGAGAAGCTCGCGCGCGGGGCAAGGACCTTTCATCGTTGGAGTCCACCCGGAGGACCACGGAGGACTTGGTTCCTGGAACAGCTCAGACCCAAGCTCCAAAAGCATCGACCCTATATCGAAACACAATTGATAGTGGTTTGCTCGTTCCAAAACGAAATCAAACTCATTGAACCTCCAAGCTGATGAACATGCCTCCTCAGGCGGGATGTTCGCTGCGCAGCCCGTGAATTTGTTGGGGAAAGTGCACAGCTTCCGTCACCTGGCAAAAAAAACGCAAACACCCAACTGCCAAGAACAGTCGTCCACACGTTTCCAGGTCCATGGTCCATCACCCAATCCCTTCAGCTTCCGTCACAGGAGCGCCATGGCGAAGACACGGCCACAGACCTCTTGCTGGATGGGTGGCAGGAGCGGGTTTTCTGGATGAAAGAAAGGCACCACCTGGGGATGAGGAGACTATAGGAGTCTCGGGAACCAACACTGACCCCCACACTGGGTGGCAGGAGCTTCGAGTACATTCTTGTTCTGGGATAGTGAAACTGGACACAAAGACCTCCAGTAAATGGTTCGTGTACCAAATTGCCAAGCACACAGATGCATCAAAGAGGTCAAATTTTGTTGCATGACTGCATGTACAGCCTCTTATCATCTTCCAGGTCTTGTTCATGATCGTTCCATGATAAGGAGTGTGTTGCCCTTTTTCTGACTAACACCTACCTAGTGCTTCCAATGGGTGTCCAATGGAGACCTATAAATTTCTATAAACAGTCCAGGGTTGTCAATTGGTGACCCCTTGGAAGCAGCTGGTATAGAAGATCCTAGAAGTTTTATAATGTACTTCACATCCTCAACTCACATCCTCTTTAGTCACATCCTTCACATGGATTGGGTCCCTTGAGTTCCAGCAGCACCATGGCAACCAAAAACACAATTCGCCCGACTTCCTTGCCTGATACATCTGTCCAGCGCCGCCCTCGCCACCATACCTCGGGACTTCCCACTTCGAACGATGTCGGGGCCCACAGAAAGAAACGGTCCGATATGGGCAGATTCGCTGGCGACTCGGTTCCCGGTTGCTAGCGGCTGATCCACAGGATTCGGTAGGAATTCTGATCTTTAATGACGCAAACACTCAAGTATAACACAAAACGAAACCAATCACCGATGTCAAAATGGTCCCAGGATCCGAACCGAACATGGGGACCCCTTCGAACTTCTTTTCAGCAAACAACACATGCCAAATCATGTCGGCATGCCGCCTGTCAGCAGATGCTGTCCAACAGAACACAAACAGGTCATCCTGACATTCTACTTGCCATACTGCGTGACATGTTTGTGATTGTGTGTTTGTGGCTGTGCGTGTTGTGATTGTGTTTGTGGTTGTGTTTGTGGTCGTGTGTTTGTGATGGTGTGGTTGTGTGTTGTTGTTGTTGTTGTTGTCGTTGTTGTTCTTGTGTTTGTGTTTGTGTTTGTTCTTGTTGTTGCTGTTGCTGCTGCTATTGGTGTTGTTGTTGCTGTTTGTTTGTTTGTTTGTTTGTTGGTTGGTTGGTTGGTTGGTTTTGTTGGTTTTGTTTGTTTGTTTGTTTGTTTGTTGGTTTTGTTTGGTTTGTTGGTGTTGTTTGTTTGTTTGTTTGCTTGCTTGCTTGCTTGCTTGCTTGTTTGTTTGTTTGTTTGTTGCTCTGCGCTTGTGATTGTGTTTGTGGGTGTGCGTTTGGGAATGTTAGTGGTTGTGTTTGTGGTCGTGTGTATGTGATGTGGTTGTGCGTTGTGGCTGTGTTTGTGGTTGTGCGTTTGTGATTGTGTGTTGTGGTTGTGCATTTGTGATTGTTTGTGGTTGTGTTTGTGGTCGTGAGAGATGGGGCTACCAGAGTATTCAAGCGTGCACATGTTGACGCACGCAGTAGTATTTTCTGTTTTTCTGCGCTGATTACAGCAACCGCTGGAAAACTGCTCGGACCCATACATGGTATGAACTTGCAAGTTCTAGTACAAGGGTTTAGGGACATGTACTCGGGCTTCATGTTTACGGATAAGGGTTTGTGGATTAGGGCTTAAGGTTTGTGGATCATGGTTTAGAGGTTTATTGATTAGGGCTTCATGTTTGTGGATTAGGTGTTATTGTTTATGGATTTAGGGTTCTATGTTCGTGGATGCTTTTCATTTTTGTGGATCAGGCTTTCAGGTTTGCGCATGAGGCATTAGGGTTTGTGAATCTGTATAATCTACAAAGAGCTGGCGTTCGAGGTCCGGCGGGGAACGCTGCCAGGACGAGGCGGAGGAGGAGGAGGACGACGAGGACGAGGACGAGAACGCAGCTGACATGGAATCTAACAACCTTCACCTGACAGGTGGGACGAAATCGATCAACAGTTTGTTTTTCACACTGTTCCGTTTGCTCATGATTCATGCTGCTTGGCATTGCCCTGTCTCCTCCCTGCTCCCAGGGACGTCGGGTGCAGGGAGCCGCGCCCCGTGCTGCGCCAAAGCCACGCTTCCTCCAGAAAGGGGAAAAGAACGGAAAATCGTTAGGTGATTCAGGGATTGGGGGGGACTGGGGCCCCTCAGAAAACCTGATGGTTGTCAACCTGTTTCAAACACACAGGTCAGGCAGGTCAAGAGCTCTTGTTTGGCAATTCTGTCAATAGTACTGACCGCCTTTTCAAACATATCTTCTGGCCCAATTTCCCAAAGTGACGCCTCTTCGGCAATGTTTTTGCAATACTAACCGCCAGATTTAGTCTTTGGGACCTCCTCATATTTGCTTCCAGACCTTTCAACAGAGAAAGGGGGTCTACATTAAATAGCTCCTAAAGCCGTGAACACCTCCAGACATCTCCCTATAAATGCACCTTTGCAATGAGGGACTTCACGCGCCGAAGCCGAACGCGGGCATCCCTAAAGTGTCAGGTCGCGAACTCGCTGGGCCGCTTCATCTGCCGCTTCCATTGGCTCAAGCTTCGTTGCGCAACGGCTCCAGCTTTCCCGGCGCGGCGCCAACAAGAGCCGCACTCTGAAGTGATGCCTTCGCGTTGCCAGGTCAATCTTATAACTCGGATTGCCCTTGTAACCCTTGATCGGACAGCCGCGCATCATGTCATAGCTTCGTCGATCGGGACCAGCTAGATCCTCAAATTTGTGGGCTTTGACAAGGTCACTTCTGGCTCGACTCTCTCTTAAGGCTGACCTGAGTAGGACCTAGCATAATTAATTCCTTTTTTATTCGACCTACCCTGCAGTATGTGTTGACATACTTAATCACACACTCTATAGTTCCTAATTAATTGCTGTGAGGGGGGTATGCAAGAAATTAATCAGGGGCTCCATTAGGACATAGACAAATGAAAAAGACACAATGATATAGAATGAGATTGCTGTGCCAGAGTGCGACATAAGCTTTGCATAGTTTCCAAACGTGTCGCAACTCGTTTTCTCATTTTTCTGTCAAAGACAGAGATGCAATACATACACCACGCAGTCGAAAGCTTTGACTTGAAAAGTGCTACAACATGTGTACGATCGTTCTCAATCGTTCTATTTTCTTTGCTTTTTTGAGATGTGTTTTTGTTGTGGATTTTCTACGCCTTTATAATCTCGTGGATTTTCAATCCTGTCCGGATATGTTGGGGTGGTTTCCTGCAATTTGCTTTTTGAAGTTTACATAGCGTATATAGTTAGTATATGTGTTGTATTCAACCTCATTCATCTGAGGCGTGCGTTGAGCGCTTCTTCGGCCATGTGAAGACTGTTTGTCGTGGACAAGCTGGTTCCTGCACCATTGCAAATAGCATTGCAGCTGCCCAGGTGATTCACCTTCGGCAGAGCTACACCAAGAACACCAAGGAGGGGACACAGATTCTGTTGTTGTTTTCTGTGTTGTGGGGCTTTGGGGTGAGCAACTCCAATAAATCAACTGCCCCCTGAGTACTGTGGGACCCCCTGATTAATTTCCCTTGAGGCTTCCGACTCCCCATGAGGGTCAGCAACAATAGATATTAAATAAATCGACTGCCTCCTGATTACTGTGGGACCCCCTGATTAATTTCCCTCCAGGCTTCCGACTCCACATGAGCAACCATAGAACCAACCACAGAAACAATAGGTATTCCAAATACATCAAATACCTCCTGAGTACTGTAGGACCCCCTGATTAATTTCCCTTGAGGCTTCCGACTCCCCGTAAGCAACCATAGATATTCTTAAACAGATCAAGTGCCTCCTGACTACTGTAGGACCCCCTGACTACTGTATAGGATCATTGAAGGTCCCAGAGATCAAAGGGGTTCGCAGGGACAAGCGTCGAGGAAGATAATAGCAAATGTGCGCTGATTGTGGACTGAACCTTGGGAAACGGAAACGGAAACTATCGTAAACTCATCGGAAGTGTTCCGTTTTTTACGGTTGCAGCAGGCTTTGCACTGGTTTGTGTCTATTTAATTTGTTTATGCGTTGCTCTGTTATGATTGTTATGCATTGCGGTGTGTCTGTGGTTCTCTTCCAAGCACTCAAACAAACACAGTGCACAAGAAAGCAGAAGAGAAAAGTAGTCAAGAAAACATGAACAAACACATCCACATACACAAATTAATGAATGTGTATGACACGTCTCTACCACTTTTGATTTGACCCTGCATCATAGGGTCACAATATTTTGCCACCTCAACAGTGTCAAGCTGCTGGACTGTTCATTCAGTGTGATGAACTTTGTCAGTTCTACCATGTCTACCATGTCTATATGTATACATTCTCGAGAACAAAAGTTGGGAAACAATAATCAGCAAAACATATCCCGGCAAGAGACCCCAGACAGTGTGTGTGAGGTCTGTAAGCAGAAAGTCTAGAGGTCTAGTCGCATTGGGGTCCAGAGAGGTGATGGTGGTGATGAAGTGAAGGTGGGTGTGAGTGAGTGAGTGTGGGAGTGAGTGTGCATGCGGGTGTGAGTGAGAGTGAGTGCACTCACACACCCACCTCACTCTCCCACTCGCAGACTCTCACTCGCTCTCACTCACACTCGCACTCACACTCACTCACCCACACTCACTCTCACCCACACTCACTCTCACTCACACTCGCACTCACACTCACTCACTCTCGCACTCTCACTCACACTCACTCTCACTCACCCACACTCACCCACCTCTCACTCACACTCACACTCACTCTCACACTCACACTCACTCTCACTCTAACTCTCACTCTCACTCTCACTCTCACTCTCACTCTCTCACTCTCACTCACTCACTCACTCACTCACTCACTCACTCACTCACTCACTCACTCTCACTTTCACTTTCACTTTCACTTTCACTTTCACTTTCACTCTCACTCTCACTCTCACTCTCACTCTCACTCTCTCTCACTCTCTCACACTCTCACTCACTCTCCTTCAGCCTCACTCACACTCACTCTCAGTCACACTCACTCTGACCAACACCCACTCTCACTCACACTCACTCTCACTCACACTCGCACTCACTCACACTCGCTCTCACTCTCACCCACACTCACTAACACCCACCTTCACTCTCACTCACAGTGGGAGTGGGAGAGTGAGTGAGTGTGCGAGTGTGAGTGAGAGTGAGTGTGAGTGGGAGTGAGTGTTCAAAGAGTGAGCATCTGAGAGCACAAAGTACTGCGCCTGCCACGAAATCTGCACTTCGAGGTTCACCAAGCGCTGTGCCTGCCACGAAAACTGCACTTCGAGGTTCAGCATGCGCTGTGCCTGCCACGAAATCTGCACTTCGAGGTTCACAAAGTGCTGTGCCTGCCACGAAATCTGCACTTTGAGGTTCACCAAGTGCTGCTCCTGCCACGAAATCTGCACTTCGAGGTTCACCAATTTGCTGTGCCTGCCACGAAATCTGCACTTCCATGTCCACCAAGTGCTGTGCCTGCCATGAAATCTGCACTTCAAGGTTCACCAATTTGCTGTGCCTGCCACGAAATCTGCACTTCCAGGTCTACCAAGTGCTGTGCCTGCCATGAAATCTGCACTTCGAGGTTCACCAACTGCTGCGCCTGCCACGAAATCTGCACTCCGAGGTTCACAAAGTGCTGTATACCTGTCACGAAAACTGCACATCGAGGGTCACAGGGTGCTGTGCCTGCCACGAAGTCTGCAAACGAGCCACATGTCCAAAAGTAACGATTCACTGCACCTGTCACGAAATCTGAGCTCCTGCCACGAAAATGGCATTTCGAAGTAAAACTCCTCCGATCCCTTGCGCCTGTCACGAAACGTCGACTTTGGAGCACCAAAGCAAGAGGTTTCCCTTGCGCCTGCCACATGTGCGAAAATGCGCACGGCACCACAACGAGAGCGCAGTCGCTAGAAGCACCCGCCGCGGCCACCCAGATTCTGCGAGCCTGCGCAGTCGAAATGCACATTGATCATGTCGAAATAGCAACGAATTAGCCGTTCACGCCCGCGCGGAACAGCGATCTAAGCACACCTGCTTTTCACTTAACCCCTCCGTGTGCCCACACTGTTTGGGGAATGAACCCAGTGGTCCTCTCATTTTATTTCCCAAGGTTAGGTGTGTGCGTGTGTGTGTCACCTCACCCCCTGTATCTAAGGGTTCCACCTTTAACCTCTGGAACTAAGAGTTTTGAATGCAGGGGGACGGGTCACCAC